TCTTTCCTTAGAAAACAGACTCACGTTAAATGACATTTTGATGCGAACAGTTTTGAAAGTGAGAAAAGCCAAGTTTGGTGAAGCTGTGGGAAAATGGGGGCTCTCATATAATTGTGGTCTAAGAGTAAACTGGTTCATGTTTCCAAAGGGCACTTTGGACATAGGTATCAGAGCCCTTGTAATATTCATATACTTTGTCCAGTGTTCGTTTGTATGAGTTATCCTGAAGAAGTCATCAAAGTGGTGTACAAATATAGAAAAAAGTTTATTGCAACATCATTTATAATAGAATAAAATTAGAACCAACATAAACATGCGTTAGTAAGAGATTAGTTAAATCATTATGTTATAGCCATGCAGCACAGTGCTTTGTAGGAGACAAAACTCATGTTGTTGAAGTACATTCATGTTAGAGGCAAATGTTCACTCGAAGTTAAAAAGCAGGTTCTAGGGGCTTCCCTGGTGGCGCAGTGGTTGAGAGTCTGCCTGCAGATGCAGGGGACACGGGTTTGTGCCCCGGTCCGGGAAAATCCCACATACCGCGGAGCGGCTGGGCCCGCGAGCCATGGCCGCTGAGCCTGTGCTCCGTAACGAGAGAGGACACAACAGTGAGAGGCCTGCGTACTGCAAAAAAAAAAAAAAAAAAAAAAAAAAAAAAAAAAGCAGGTTCTAAAACAGTGTGTGTAATATGATCACAGTTGTTTAAAGAAATATATCCATATGGGGAGATTAGGGATAATATTTATTTTCTTCTGTTGTTTTTGTTTGTTTTCTTCAATGGATGTGTATTACTTCTGTAATCACAATCACTATAGCATAAGAAGGACATTTGACCCCTTTGTTCCTTTTTCCACAAAGAGTATTCTGATTTCTATTCTAAAATATCGTTTCCTCTTAGAAAAAGGCAGAAGCAACCTTGTTTTTTAGCATCAACAACTGTACCTTATCTGCTTTGGCTAATGCCTTTAATCCATCTGTTCTGTCAAAGTGTGATATAGATACTGGACTGTAATGATTGCAATTTAATCTTTACATAAGTCATAATTTTGTATATCTTCTTGCCTGAATAGTTCTCACCTGCATAGACTTGGCTCTAATAATGAACGTCTTCCCCTTTCAGGTAAACAATTACAGTTTAGAAGAAGTAACACATGAAGAGGCGGTAGCAATATTGAAGAACACGTCAGATGTAGTTTATCTAAAAGTTGGCAAAGCCACCACCATTTATATGACTGATCCTTACGGCCCACCTGATATTACTCACTGTAAGTAACCACGCTCAGTGTCATCTTTGAACAGCATGCCAGGTTTGCAAAATCGGAATTCTACAAAGCTTGGCAAAGTCCTCTACTTGCACCTTCACTCTTTTTAGCCTGTGGAAATACTTCACGGGGATCCTGCACTTGACTCCCCAGTTGCCTTGGAGGCCTTACCTGATGAGTTGTCAGATTCACCCTTATGGAAAGGCTTGACGATGTATGTTATGGACAGTGTGATTACAATAGCATAGGGGCAACACATTTTTAAAATTTATTTTATTGAGGTATAGTTGATTTACAGTGTTGTGTTAATTGCTGCTGTACAGCAAAGTGATTCAGTTATACATATATATACACATTATTTTCATATTCTTTTTTACATGGTTTATCACAGGATATTGAATATAGTTCTCTGCGCTATGCAGTAGGACCTCATTGCTTGTGCATTCTATATATAATAGTTTGCATCTGCTAATCCCAAACTTCCAACCCATCCCTCCCCCCAACCCCCCCCACTTGGCAACCACACGTCTGTTTGCTATGTCTGTGAGTCTGTTTCTGTTTCATAGAGAAGTTCATTTGTGTCATATTTTAGATTCCACATATAAGTGATATCATATGGTATTTGTCTTTCTCTTTCTGACTTACTTCACTTAGTATGATGATCTCTAGGTCCATCCATGTTGCTGCAAATGGCATTATTTCATTCTTTTACATGGCTGAGTAGTATTCCAAGGGGCAATGCATTTTTAAAGTCTGTTTCTCAAGCCCCTGAAGTATGATAGCTCTCATGTCCTAATAGTCTCTCTTCCTAGTTCAAATCTATATAGTCGCAGAGTGGAAAGGAGGGACAGGCAAAGTAAACCAGAGATAGCACTGTGTGTGCTTCATCCTGGGGGAAAGGATCTTGCCGTCAATTGGTGAAATCATAATCCTTAATAACTATCATTATAGTTCTTACCTTTACCAGAATTTGATATATTGGCAGGGAAGCCAGAGAAAATTGTTGATCGCTGTGGCAGTGGAGATGGGGTGGAGGTGCGTGCTTCTAGGGCAACAACTAACAATAAGATGCGTCCTCACAAAGTCCACTGTTGCATAAGCCCCGTGTTTTCCCCTCTTCTTAATAGGTCAACAAGAAGATTCTGTCCTTGGGGACTAGATTTAGAAGCAATTCATTTCTTGGATGTGAGTTTAAGGGATAGTTTTGTCAGCATGAGTAAGTGTGCTCATTCTGAAATTTTGAGGAACCAGTTGTGAGACTGGGAACTCAGAATGTCTTCAGGACCTGACATTAATTAGTACTATGGTCTTAAGCAAGTTGTTTGACCTCTCTTAGATTTGGACGTTTCTCTTGAAATTTAAATGTTGGATGATTTTGTTATCTGCCCATTACATTAGCTATTGCTTTTCTTAATGGTGATTCTAAAATGACTTGCCCCAAAATATGTCTTTTTGTCAAGCAAGCAGTAAGAAGAGATCAGCCTTACCTCAGGATATGAAAGAATGTTAACTTCCAGAGTTTTTCAAACTGGTTAAATTTAGAAAACTCTGTCTTGAGGCTCTGTGAGCCTCTTCTTGAAGGGCATATAAGGTCAACGTCAAAGAGAAAAAGGAGAAAACAAAACTTGCTATTCAATTCAAGAAATGTGTATTGAGTAATTTCAATACATGCAAGACACCTTGTAAGGTAATATGTGTGATACAAAGGAGATAAAATCATGGGCTTCATTGAAAGGAAGGCTAATGCAGATATATAAATAGTAGCACTATCTGGCAAACTGAGAGGGATGTACATGCCATGAGAGAGGTAAAAATATATGTCCTTTGGGCACTCAAAGGAAAAGGATATCACCTGTCTTAGGAAGGTCAGAAAAATCTTTATGCAGAGGGTGGCGTTTGAATTTTATCTTGAAAAATTGGATGAGATTTCGGTATCAGAGATGGGATAGGAGAGAGAAGTTGCAGGTAGCTGGTAGAGTGGAGCAAAGGTACAGATATTGGGGAGAACAGGCCTTATTTAAGGACCATAGGAGATTCATAAGGGGGGATATTGAAATGAGTCAATCTTGTAAGAATGGTGAAAGGGAGAATTTATATTCAATACAGTGGTGGCAATGGAGAGTGTGTAAGCAAGAGAACAGCATGATCAGACCTGGATTTCTCAATGTATAAAATGGATCTGGGGAGAGAACAGCAGCAGGAGACCCAGTTAGGAGGCTTTTCAGTCACCCAAAAGGGGGATGAATTAGGGTGCAGGAACAGAAGAGAAAGGCCAGAGTTAGCCTCTCTGGCATGGGAGTAGAGCATATTTAGGGATTAAAGTCTTATAGAAGAACTTGCTCCTAAGAGCCTTCTGCTTTTGATGGTTTGATATTAATTATGTGAAAAGAATGCGAGCTCGGCAATTAAAAAGCTAACATTTTTATTTCAATAGAAAATTAATCATCGTTCTGAATATATGAGTGCTGGGTCTCTCCTCCAGTTTTTCTCTTCACCTAATTATACGAACTGGGCTTACAGATATAACTGTTATTACATCTTTCCAATCCTAAAGATCACCATGTGCTTGTACATATTAAACGCAAACAAACAGCAACTCCCTCCTCTCGAAGGATCAGAAAATTCTTAGCGTGTAGCAAAGCCTTTCTATTTTTAACAGAACTGTAGCATGACACATTGAATCAGCCACATAACAGATTTCTTTTCTTTTCTTTCACCCCTTAGCTTATTCTCCACCAATGGGAAACCATCTTCTCTCTGGCAACAATGGCACTTTAGAATACAAAACCTCCCTGCCGCCCATCTCTCCAGGAAGGTACTCACCAATTCCAAAGCACATGCTTGTTGAAGACGATTATACCAGGTCAGATATGCTTTTGGTTAACTGGGTTTGCGATCGTTACAAGGAAGAAATTGCATTTGCCTAACATGGCAGCTGTTGCTTCTCAGCACCATTCAAACTTATGATAGTCTCACCTCAAGTGGAAATCTGCCAAGACTTATAAACATGTGTCATTGTCATCTGTTGGAAGCAAAAACCACAAATTCTTTCTGGAGAAGTAGTAATAGACACACAACCATCACTTTGCAAATCTGTTAGGACTTTCGACATCTAACACCATTTGAGCTTTACAGCCATACTGTAAGACAGGTATCATTACTCAAAGGCAGAAGATGGTGCTGAGGTTCAGAAAGAAGGAAGTAGCATAGCAGTATGTACGAGTCCCCTTGTAACCACATAGAAGAGTCAGAACTGAAAGACTCTGGGTTTTTTTTTTTTACTCTAAATTCCATGTTCTTGCCACCAACAGCTACACACAGTTCACTGGAACTGAGGCTTCAGTCAGTCCTCCCTCGAGTGCAGTAACTACAGGTGGAAAGGAAAGGAGTGAAATTAACTCCAAATGGTTTGAATTTAATATCTCTCAGTCTCAAAGGGGAACAGCACAGGATTTTAGGACACAGCACAGAACCACATGGCTAACCCCACAAAATAAAACTAAATTTAGGGCTTCCCTGGTGGTGCAGTGGTTAAGAATCCTCCTGCCAATGCCGGGGACACGGGTTCGAGCCCTGGTCGGGGAAGATCCCGCATGCCGCGAGCAACTAAGCCTGTGCGCCACAACTACTGAGCTGCCGCTTTAGAGCCCATGCTCCACAATAAGAGAAGCCACCACAATGAATAGCCCACGCACCCCAACGAAGAGTAGCCCCCGCTCGCCGCAACTAGAGAAAGCCCACACACAGCAACGATGACCCAACGCAGCCAAAAATAAATAAATAAATAATTTTTTTTTTTAAACTATATTTAGCTGGCATGCCTCTGAAAAAGTCAGGTCTGACAGTTCAGAGAAGACCAACTTAGTTTACCTCATGGTCACTGGTCAGGATTAAGTAACTTTTGGATGATGAACAAATGAATGAATGAAGGGGTGGATGAATAATAGGAAAGGTACATTTTTTTCTTTTTTATCTTTAAATGTTTTTGTTCCAAAGTAATGCATGCTCACTGCATTTGGTGAGGTAATGCAAAGATGTTCAAGAAACAAAAATCTCCCTCAAGCCCAGCAAGGTTCCCAGTGTGGCATTCTGGCTTGAACCGTTCATACCTTTTCTATGTGCATACAGACGTGTACAAAGCATACTCAGACGTAGGTGGGGCTTGACATTGTTTTTACAAAATAAGTTTGTATTTTACACATTGCTTTGCAACTTGCTTTTCTCATTGAGAAAAACTTTTACCCAAAATGAGATTGCATACGGATATGTACACTTTTTTTCTGAAAATGTTTGTGTGGAAAAGGATACAGATGGATCCTTTAGTTTTATATCCTGCCTGTCTACTGAAGTCATTTGTCAGCCTTTAAAAAAATTGAGGAGACTTCCTGCTGCTTAACTTTCCTTGATGGTGCCCGTGTGTGCTTTGGTCTTTTCATTCCTTTGCTATTTCTTTTTAAATGATTAAGCATTTTCCATTTATTTTGCAATTTCAGGTTTGCTGAAGTGGCTTGTTACATCTTTAGCCAAGGAATGGAATGTTTAGATGCTGCAAATGTGCATCTGTGGTTTAAATCAAATATAAACCTCTTCCTACGCTGATATGTCTAATCTCTCTGCTCTTAATTAAAATGAAGGCTGCAGCAAAGATAATCCTCATGGTTCTCTAAAGATTGTATAAATATAGCCACCTTTATTCACCAGAGCAATAATCTATTTGCTCTCATCCTATCGCCAATATTTGATAGGATTTTAATTTGAAAATGTCATTTTATCTTACTAGGCCCCATAGTTAATTAAAATTTATTAAACCCCATTCATAATCCAGGCCCTTTGCTAGCTGTTTTACTTACACTATCCTTTTAATCCTCCCCAAAACACAGAAAGAAGGGCTGTCATCCCCATTTTAGAGATGCAGAAATTGAAACTCAAAGAGGTTAGCGAATTTGCTTGTGGGCACACAGCTTTTAAGTAGGAAAACTGCATGCCCTGCCAGCTTTAAAATTCTGGCTAGGAAGAAACATGTTAATTTTCTCCTTATTTTTAAAATGAAAACCAAGTCATGTAAAACTGTTCTTATTGTAAAAAAAAGTATGTGGCTAGAAAGGGACCCAAGAGTTTTGATGAGCTCTGAAGACAATTAGATGCAGTCTGAGACATACTTCTACCACTGGCTGACTGTGTGAGCTTGGGCAAATCTTTTTTTGTGTGTGTGTGTATGTGTGTGGTACGCGGGCCTCTCACTGTTGTGGCCTCTCCCGTTGCGGAGCACAGGCTCCGGACGCGCAAGCTCAGCGGCCGTGGCTCACGGGCCCAGCTGCTCCACGGCATGTGGGATCTTCCCGGACCGGGGCACGAACCCGTGTCCCCTGCATCGGCAGGCGGACTCTCAACCACTGCGCCACCAGGGAAGCCCTTGGGCAAATCTTTTAACCACTGCAAGCCTCAGTTTCTTCATCTCTACAAAGGGGAGCGTAATCAAATCTTTCTCAATAGGTTGTTGTAATGATTAAATGAGATAATACCTGCAAAGAACTTATAACAGTGCCTGATACATAATGAATATTAAATGAATGTTATCTGTTTGCTGTAGGCATACTCATTATAATTCTCAATCTACCTATTCGCATGGAGTATTTCAGATGGTGTCTGGGGAAGAGATTTCATTTCTTCCTACAGTGATATGCCTCAGTGTCTTACTTCTTGCCTGCTTCCTTCCTTGCTCTCTGGCAGGACAATCTCATAACTTTGTACAAAATCTTCTGAATGTCTGGTGCCTGGGAAACTTGTGAAATAAATTATATCAGTTTACACACACAAACACACAGACACCTCCCTCACATCCTCACCACTGCTGTATCCTCTCACAGGTGCTCTGTGCTATAAGGCATTACCATAGGTCTCAGAGATAAATATTTTCTGAGGCATATTCACCGCATTATTCATGAATATTCATTGACTACGTCCTACTAGACAGTGGGTACTGCAGTAGAGATGCAAAATGGAGTAAGAAACAACATCTCTAAGAACTATCAAATTGGGACAAAAATATACGTGGAACCAGTGGATCCCCCAGTACCTATTCCCTGATGATGCAGACCCCCTCCATGAAGTTTCCCATAAAGCCTATATGTATATTTTTAGTCCTGAGATTTTATACTTTGGTGTCAAAATGCCCCTTCTTTTATGGTAGTCAATGGCAGTTACTTATTATATCCTAACCTAGAAGATGAAAAGTTGGCAACTTTATATTAGTCCTCATTTTTTAAATGTAAAAGTACTGTAAAATCCCAAAGTGTGGGAACTACTAACAGAAACGAACAAAATTAGATCAGTTCAGTGAAGTGCTCTCGTGTTGCCCTAGCAGAGTTCCCCAGCACCAGAGAGGCACTTAGTAAATATTTATAAATAATTTTTTTGAGTTTTCCGTGAATGCCACAGGAACAGCCTATGACATCAAATAAAGTTTTAAAGAGGAGATAACTCTTGTGTCTGAACTTGAAAAAATGTGTAGGCATTCATCAGGGAGTCAAGAGATCAAGAAGGGGACTCATGGTAGGGGATAGCACATGCATACTCAAGGAAGAATGTGAAAGAGAATAAAATGAACACACCTGTTATAGTTTGAATACCAGGCTCATAAAGAAAAATGGTACCTACCTTTAAGTTGTCTTTCTATTTCTATCCTTTCTCTCATCTGCAACCTCGTCATAAGATTGGAAATACATAGAGTAGTAAAAACAAAAAGATCACTACTATGCACTATTACGCTAAGTGCTTTCATATACGTTATTGCTCCGATATTATTTATATAATATTCTTAGTGTTGATTTTTACAGGTAACAAAAATGAGTTTAAGTAATTTTCTCATATCATACAGCAAGCAAATAGAAGAATCAAAATTTGAATTCGGGTCTGTCTTCAAAGTCCTCACCCCCATCCCTCCAACCCACCATCTATCTCATACAGTCTCTTTTCATGTAGAGATGTTGGGTAAAGGGGATTGGGCTTGTATCAGGAGGCTGGTACTACCGCTTACCACCTAGATAACCCTGAACAAGTCGTTCAATCTCCTGAGTCTTGATTTTCTCATCTCTAAATTTGGGTCCTCAAATTTCCTCATGGAATTGTGAGGTTTTAATGTGATACTATGTGTGAAAGTTGTCATCTTTAGAGAGCTATATAAAATTATTATTATCCTAAGGTGCTATAGTAGCTTACCTTTGGGGCCTACTTTACATTTTCCTAAAAGAGTAAATCAAGGGAATGAATCTTTAATGATGGGACTGGGGCTGACAGGGAAACATTTCTGTGAAATGGGTACCTTCCAACAACCTATAAAATTATATCAAATTGGCAGTCTTTTGTTCCACATGTTCATAATATTTTCCTATCTTCCTGATTTATATTCACTTTTGTTGGGAAATACAGTAAGAATTTTAAAAAGAGTTTTGATTAGAAGAATGCTACAACGGCTTACCTGGAATTGTTTTAAATCTCTTTTACTATTTAAGGAAATGTGTACCGAGTAAGCTGGGAAATTTTGTCTTTCCTCAATTTAGAGAAAGGAAGCCTAAGCAAAAAAGCCTTGGATGAAATTCTCTTAGTAGAAACCCTACTGAGGCCCTCATAAGTCAAAATTATTATTATGTAAATACTCTGGTCGTCAATTTTTGGGAAACAAAGCTGTTACAATGATGCTGAGATGGTTTTTTGGCTCATAGAATTATAGACTATCAGATTTGGAAGGGCCATAAATGTCTATAGAGTCTAATCTTCCTCCATTTGATGGGTAAGAAACACAAGGCCTAACATGATTTGTTGGCTATCCCTAGGTCTCACAACCTGTAAGCAGTAGAATCAGAT